GCTGGCGAAGAGGGACGTCCTGACCCCCTTCCGTGTGGACTTGGAGGTGTATGAGGGGCACGGCGACGCCAGCCGCCTGCTGGGGAAATGCACCCACGAGCGATGGTTTTTAGGAGAGGGGGTGAAAAGGATTTCGGTCAGAGAAGGTCGTCTGAAAGCAACCCTCTTCCTCCCTCCTGGTGAGTCCTAATGCCCTTGGCTTTTCCAGGTGAGATTTATAGTGTGCCCCGTGGCCCCTGGATGCCTTCGGCCACCCGGAGCAAAGCCTCAGCCGTGGCTCCCTCAGCCCGTGCTGGGCCCGGCTGCTTGGGCACAGCAGAGCAGGGAGGATTCGGTGCTGCCCGGGCGGGTCAAGTCCTGAGGCAGGGGCTGCAGGGACAGCAGTGAGGTGACACGAGGTGTCTCCTGGGTGTCCCAGCTGAGGAGGGTCAGGACCTTCCCCAGAGCCCTGGGGGAAAGCCTTTTTAGTTCTTAGCTGAACAGAATCAGCTGACAGGACAAAGAGGCCCCTGGTCTGCAGCAGAGCTGTGAGGCGTGACTGCTTTGGCCGTGGAGTGAGGAGTTGTGGGGGGAGCATTGGACTTGGGCTGCAGCCAGCCTGGGCTGCTCCAGTAGCTGCCCCAGATCTCCCTGCAGGCTCTGGACTTGTCTCTCTGTCTCTCGCTTTGGCTAAGGAGAAGCCAAAGGAAGAGTCAGAAACACCTGGTTGAGCAGCTTGGCTGCACGGGATGCTTCGGAAGTTTGGAGACAAATGAGAAAAGCAAGGCCTTTAATTAAGCAGGTGGCATATTCCACAGGTTTTTGTGGAGACAGCACTGAAACTGGATCCTGTGTAAAGCTGCCCTGAGCTACTCATGTTCCTTGAGCAGTACTTCAACATGAATGTCTTGCCCTGTAATGAATAAAAAAATCCCTTCCATCTGCTGTGGCACCAAATCTTGTAAGGGAAGTCTGGCTGTAATAATGGGCAGGGCAGCAGCAGGAAGGGAAGGTCCCATGGCTGCAGGAGGAGAACTGAGAAACCCAGGGGTAGTTACCCAGGTCATGCCGAAGCCTGAATTGGTGTAGGTGGGTCCATTTCATAACTCAGGTATTGCCTCCCTGAATAACTTGCTAGCACAGTTCCTAAAGAGGCACAGCTCAGGCAGTGGTGATGTTTGTTCATCGATCCACAGTGGCCTGAGAACATCTGGGCCAATGCCAGCTGAAATTCATGGTGGGAGAAGGATGCCCAATGTCTGAACTTCCTATAAGGAGTTCTGAAGAGAGAGAAGAAATACCCAAATCAGTGTCCTTACAGTGATTGTGTGTGCGCCTGAGAATGGCAACCTGTGCTTCAGAGGATGATTTCCCTCTGATATCTACTGTTCTGGTGTGTGCTGAGGGGACACTGCTGAAAGGACAACTGCAGAAACTTTTCTCTCTGATTATATACACACCTTTTGTTGCAGGACCTGGTCCGTTCCCTGGACTTATCGATTTGTATGGGTCTGGAGGAGGTCTTGTGGAGTACAGAGCAAGTCTTCTGGCTAGCAGAGGCTTTGTGACTCTGGCTGTTGCTTACATGGCCTTTGAAGATCTCCCTGCTATGCCAGAAAGTCTTGAACTGGGCTATTTTGAGGAAGCTGTCAACTTTTTGCGGAAGCAGCAGCAGGTAAGAGACAAACTGTGGGGCTCCTGTTGGAAGCTGTGTTCCAGTTTTCTCGTTGGAATGCTGTGTGTCACTGAATGCAACTAAGTTTCTGAGATGTTAGAAGGAGACCACTTTGTCCAGCAGACAGCAGATCTGAGAGATGGAGAATCATGGGCCTCAACTCAAATTTTACAAGTAGTTGGTTTTGCACAACTTGTTATAACAGTCCACGGAGTGGTATTTGTGTAAAGGTGAATCCAAATTAAATCCTAGTTCCTGGACTAGAAGCACAAAACTCCTTAAGCAGGATATCTTTTTTCCCTTACTTTTGCATCTTTCAAGATTTTAGAAAGGTAAAAAAATCCATTTACTATTTTTTTTCAGACTACATTTTTTTCCTACAAAGATGTTACAGGCTTTTGATTCGGAGTAATTTTCACAAGCACAAAATTCCTTAAGCAGGATATCTTAATTTTTTTTCCCCTACTTTTGCATCTTTCAAGATTTTAGAAAGGTAAAAAAATCCATTTACTATTTTTTTTCAGACTACATTTTTTTCCTACAAAGATGTTACAGGCTTTTGATTCGGAGTAATTTTCACAATTAATAAACCACTTTAACAACAGGACCCCTGTCAGTTGTAGCACTGGAGAGAGTGCCATGGCTTAAGAAGCTGGGGATGTATTTGAACAAGTATGGTGGATGAGAAAGACACTTTAGAGCAATATATTGTCATACTTAAACCACAAAAGACCAAGAGAAAGCAAGTAGCATTTAAACTTTTAATGGAATGCTACTTAATGAGGTGTTAATTTCTCTAAGTTATTTAATTTCTAGCACGTGGACACCACTTGTGTTCCAAGACAAACCAGAAAATAACAGGTCAGCTGTAAGAGAGTATAAAAAAAAAAGTCATGGAAGAAAATCTATGCAAGTAAACCCACTGAAAAGTGGTTTTCCTAAAGGGGACCTGAGGAGAGTTGATTGAGGAGCTTTGGGTACAGGAGCAGTGAAAGATAGAACACTGAGAGCAAGTGTCTAGCCAGGATGTGGAGGGAGCAAAGTGGCTTTGTCTGTAGAGCTCACCAGGGAGAAAAAGTGTTAGAGGACCAGAAATGTTGAGGAGCTGTGGAAATCATAGTCACTCTTGTGGAGGCTCATCAAAAGGATAGATGTGGGAGTGATGTAACCTCAGCAGAGAGAGGGAAGGGGTAAGATATGGGTGGTCCTCGATGAGGAGTGAGGAAGGAGAACTGGAGATGTTCTGTCAGCCCAGGACATGAGTAGTTGATAATGGTTGTTTTCATAATTGTGTTTCAGGTGAAAGATACTGGGATTGGCGTGTTGGGCTTGTCTAAAGGAGCTGATCTGGCCCTTTCCATGGCCACGTTTCTACCTGGCATCAAGGCAGCTGTCAGCATATCTGGAAGTAGTTTTAATTCTTTCGTTCCTCTGCAGGGGGATGGCTTCACTATTCCTGCCCACCCCTACAACTTGGGGAGGGTAAAGACCAGTGACGAGTCTGGCCTAGTAGATTTTTCAGATGTCCTAGATGATCACAGGGACCCAGCAACTTGGGATTGTCGCATTCCCTTGGAGAGGTCCTTGGCCAAGTTCCTCTTCCTGTCTGGACTGGATGACAGGAACTGGAAGAGTGACCTGTACTGCCAGGATGCTGTTCAGCGCATCCGGCAGCACGGGCGGGACGCGGAGTTTTGCTCCTACCCTGGAGCTGGGCACCTCTTGGAGCCACCATACCTGCCTCTGTGCCAGGCTTCCATCCACAGAGTGCTCGGGGCGTTTGTGCTTTGGGGGGGGCAATGGAGGGAACATGCCAAAGCCCAGGAAGACGCCTGGCACAGGATACAGGCCTTCTTCTGGCAGCACCTGATGGACTCGGACGTCCCGAAGAGCAAGCTGTAGTGGAAGCTATCAAAGATGCTGACCATGGTGGGTATTTCAGCTCTCCCTGAATCTTGGAAACTCATTGTGGGCTTCCTAGCCTGCCTTCCTCTAACCCCAACATTGCACAGTTGTTTATTTTCATTCCACAAAGAATTTTCTGGGTTTTTTTAGTTTGATTTTAGTTGTCTTCTAGCCCCAGCTGCAGTGTGGATTGGCACCAGCTGTAGTCACCTGAGAGAAATCCAGCATCTCATCACATGGATCATGTTTCTACTCAGATACCTTCTCCCTCCATCTCCAACCGCCTCCTTTGGCAGCAGGGAATACTCTCATAGGAAGAGTTTTCAGCTGGGTTGTTTAGTCTTGCCCCTTTAACTAACCTAGATGTAAACACCACTTTCTTGGGACAGCACCTCAGTACACTCACCTTTCCTCTCAAGATATCATTTTCTCACATTTCTTAGTAAAAAGGTTGTGACAGTTCTGATCACAAGAAGTCAAGAGGCAACCTGCTGACTTCCTCTGAAGTGCAGTGATAACCTGTTTTTTGTGGTATCTCAAAAAAAAACCCCAGAAGATGTGAATCTTACCCATGTTATGCTAGTTGTGTCTCCTGCTGCCTCCAGATCAGTGACGTGTCGGGGTGAAGTTTTCACAGCACTACTCAATAAATACAACGTGTATGTGTGTATGCAGTTTACTTGAAATGACCCAAATGAACCCGTCAACTGTCTTTATGCCTAGGCAGCAATCCTGGTGTAGTCACAAGCCACTGAAGAGTTGATATCCAGAAGTCCTTACCTCCTACCCCTAAGGGGCCACAGATGTGCTAAGTGCCTGCTTTTGAATGTTTAAAGTCAGTTTATCCTCGTTTTGAGGAGGAAGATTAAAGCCACTGCTGCTGCTGAGCTCCCAGGAGCCCTGTGGAGTGGGTGGCTCTCTGGTCGTGCCACTGAGGCAGTGGGCTTGGTGGCAGCTAGGAAATGCCACACTTCAGAGAGGGCTGGCCTTGCCTTTTTTGGAGAATGAGCATGATTTCACTCAGTATTCAGGTCCAAACCTGCCAAGGACAACAGTGACCTGCCTCGTGCTTTGGTGGGGTAGTGGCAAACAGCAGCTTGCTGGCATTTTCTAGATAGTAAATGGCATCAGTGAAGCAGATTTTGCCTCCTGGAGCAGCAAGGCTGCTGTTCTCCCACAGGAGCCAGCAGGAGCTGGAGGTCTCTGCCTTCTGCTGAGGCAGCAAAATCTTGCCTTTGAGAGCAGTAGTCCCTGGGAAAAAAAATGAGACACGAGCTCTGCAGGAGCCTGGACCCTGCTGAGGGCAGAACTGAGCCCTCACTTTTCTTGCTTCAGGGAGCAATGGCTGCTCAAAAGGAGCCTGCTGGGCCTCAAAGGGCTGTAGGTTCTCATGCAATACATCCAGGGCAGTCTGCACCCTTCCAGGTGTTTCTGCTTTTCCTGCCTCAGCCCTTCCTCAAAATGGTAGATGGATAATAACACCTAGCTCAAGGTGTGAGCAGTTAAAGTGGGGAGGTCTCCCTGCTGCTCACCCATACTGGTCATCCATCAAGCTTTCTGCTGTTGCCTCTGCTTCATTCCCCCTCTGTGTCTATGTCCTGCATGGACTGTGGCTGTTTTAGATGTTTAGTGAGGGGGTAGGACCTCGTGGAAGAACAACAGGTAGCAACGAGGGAAATCAGACACATTTAAACGGTTCAATCAGAATAAAGAACATTTTCTTCCCCCATATTTTTCTATTTTATTGAAGCAGTGAAAAAAACTCTTGAGTTGTTGATCCACCTTTTCCTCAGACTTGGAGCAAGAGGCTGTGAGTTTCCCTGTGGTATGAATAGTTTTGTTCTTTTGCTGTTACTGAACCCAGTGAGGTTTTTGCAGTGCAGTGTGTTGTCCTCCAGCCTGCGGAATAATTCACATCTATTTTAATCCCTTCCGAGGAGAAGACAAACTTTCTCAGCCTTCAGTGGGCAGATTATAGATCTATATTTTGAATTGCAAAATTGTGAGCTTCTGAGAAAATACATTATCTATAGGAAGTTACCAATAAAAGGAAAAATACTGTCTTTAAGGAAATCAACAGTGTGGTCAGTGACACTTTCATAGAGCCTGGTCTGTCATGTTCAGCCAGCAGGCTGGAGGAGAACACTGTGGAACACAGACAGCATTGGTCAAGAACAACATGAAAGTTATTATTTAGTTAAAGATAATTGATATTTAGCAGCAAAAGAGAGCCTATGCCAAGCACAACTGGTAAAACCAATAAAAATTCAATGGGGAAAGCTATTCTTGTAGTCTGCTTGCAATTGAAAAGTGCTTCAGATCAAAGAGCATCAAAGGTCTAATTTGAGCTGAAGGATCTCAGCTTGAAGCTTGCATCAGTTATTCCTTTGTTATCACTTTGCATGACATATCTGTAATGAGAATGAGAAAAGCTTGGGGCAAGTCTCCTGAGAGACTGAGAAGCAATCTCCACACAGGTAAGCTGCTATGAACAGATTTGTTATAAGGGAGCAGTACATCTTGCCATGCTCTTTTGGGGCAGGTGGATTTCCCTGGCTAGTTTGGAAGCAGGCAGCAATAGAGATTGCTGATTTGATGGTGTGTTTTCCTTCTTTGCTCTAGGTCAGCTTGTGATTATTGTGACAGTGTTCAAAGCTTTAGGTAAGAAAGGTCAGGCTCCCTAAAGACTCCTGCTAGACACATGGTGGCTGGTGAATGCTCACATCTGTCCTGGTAAGAATGGGTGGTTAGAGAGCTAACTCCTTCAGTTTGTGGGTTATCTTGCATCTGCAGGTAGGCAAAACAGTCAGACCTTGAGACAGTGTTCAGCTAAGTAAGACACTGACATCAGCTGAGCCACCACTGGAAAAGACAAACTGAAAAGGTAGCACAGGCTCTGTTTTACTGGTAGGAGGTGCTCTAGTGCAAGAACAACACGTGGTGGTCACAGTCTGCAACATGGGAAAATTAGGGAACAACAGAGAAAAAAATCCTTCACAGTGAGAGTAGTTAAACACTAGAAGAGGTGCCAAAAGAGGCTGGTGGGCCCTGTTACAAGGCTCTGCCTGCTGTGTTCAGATGCCATGGGGTAGCACTCCATTGGTGAGGACACAGCCCGTGCTGGGGTCACCCTCAGCTCCTGGGTCATCCCCTCTATATGGAGCAGCCCCACTTTTACTGCTCCCTGGCAGTCATTGCTTCCTGCTACCTCCTGATCTTTCAAAAGAGACCTCTGTTGCTATTATCAAGCTAGAAAAAGAAAACAGGAATAAAACTCTGAACCAAATATGGCCTTGAGATCATCTGGATTCAAGCATTTCCTTATTCTTCCGACGTGTCTCTCCCAGCAGATTACAGTCCCCTTACCATTTGTGCCTAAATGCATCTCAGATTTTGGTGAAGTCTCCATGTAGGAGTCTTTTATTTCAAGACATGCAGAATTTCCTGCAGGATTACTCCATGGTGCTTACCTCAGATCCAGGATCTTACAGTCTGTAGGCACCATGCCAGGGAACCCCTGATCAGCAATCTACAAGATCCCTGTCTACAGATCTTCCAAACCAGAGAACCAGCATGTGAAGTGATTCATGGAAGAGGTAACCCTCTGAGAATGTGACCTGAAAGCAACGTGAATGATAATTAAGCTTGATATCCTAATAAACAAAACCTCCTTATCTCTTGAAGTCACTGAATTGCAAACAGCTCTGAAGGAGGAAGAACATGTTTGACGTTCAGCTACAGAGCTTCTGGAATGATCTGTGGCAATCTGTAGGAAAAGAGGAGTGATGAAAAACCATTCTGGACAAAATATACAGAAACTAAGTATCAAAGCTGTCTCCAACCTCTGATCCTTAATAAAAGAAGATATGAGCCCTAACCAGTAAAAGCCACAAGATTCATGATTCTCCTGGGGAGAGAAATATGGAATCACTTCTACCTGACTTTTGTTGCTCATGGCTGAAAGCTGTTCAGATATCATGGTGAGATTTCTGGGGTGCCTCCTCAGAGACATGTGAGAGTAAGTTTTTCTAAATGTTTTCATTACCAGGAGATATATGTCTCTGAAGTAATTCTATTATCAGAGAAATTTGCCTAAAATCTTGCAAAGTCGTTTAAAATATCTGTCTTAAGGCATTTTTATATAAAGTGTTGTAGAGTTAGCAGAACAGGGGTCAGCTACCAGACAGGATTTGGCCATTTGAAGTGTATATATACCCACTTTTTTGGGTATATATTCAGGGGATCAAAGATAATTCCACCTGTTTTTTTTCAAAACGTAAACTTGAATATTCTTTGATCTCCAAGCACTACACAGTATTTGCCCAAAAGAGGCACATGGGTTAAAAAATGAGTTCTAGGAGGAGGATCCCTCTTCCAAAAGCCCACAGCACTTCCCCAGAGCCTGCAGCAAAGAGGCTAAAACTGTGGTAAGCTTCACAGCCCTGAAGCAGCCCAGTCCCCAGAGAGGAGGTCGATGTTCTGTTAAGATACAAGTTATCTGAGGCTGCCATACATGTTACATGTGATACGTCTGGAAAGCTTTCAACAGTTTCATCATCTCCCCCTGGGGAAAGCTCAATGCATTCTGGTTGCTTACTCACATCAAGAGCAACTCCAGCACCTCACCTTATCAGTCTATGGTTCCTAGAAAAGTACAGGGTTGTTCTGTACCACAGTCCAGTCATGTGAGCTGTCCCACCATAAGATCAGAGCCCTGCAACTGTCCCCAGATTTCTAGTTCATCCTGTGTATTGCCCATGCTTCTTGTGTTGTTATACAGACACTTCAGAGACTCCTTTGGGAAGCATCTCTTGTCGTGGTTGTACATCAGATGTTTGGGTGAGATGACCTTGAGAGCCTCTTCCAATTTTTAGTGATGCTATGAAATGGCATATTCAGGTTTGCTTTCCCTAGCATGAAATGCACTTGCCTGAAATAGAAATTCAGGTTCACGTGCTTGTTTGTCCTTCCAAATGATGTAGACCACTCATGCATTA